CATATTACCAATTCTATTTATTTGGTTTTCCATTAAATCGGAGTAGAGTATTTCGACGAATAATCATATATTTTCAATGTGATATACGACCAAGACTTGAACTGGTTATATAATCGACGATTTTACAACTGCCTACAATTAATTAACCGTCATATATAACTGGTGAGTGTTCGGTGCTACTGCGCTTTCGAGCTTGATATATTTCTTGGCAAAGCTTTCCATATGATGAAATAATAATAGAACATTGATTTTGTACCAGGAAAAATAGATATTTTTATATACTTATTTGTTAAGTAAATAGTATCTTATCGTATTAATAATTATTTTATTTCTGAAGATTTATGAAAGAAAGTTATCTATTTCAGTTGTTGCTCATGTTTACACGTTCGCGGAACTTTTATTATAAAAATCCCTTCATACACGTATTCTTGAATAGTTAAGGTTTAAACAAAATAAAAAACATGATTTTTTTCATTTTCATACAAGAATACCCTATTATAAGGCAATTGGTGCTCTTCTAAGAATAACCGCCATGTGAGTCACTAAATGTCTATAATAGTTCTATTAAATTTAAACAGATATTATCTTTATGTGCAATTACATATTTTATTTTCAATATCATTGCGCACTTTAGTTTAACTAAATCACTTACAAATACTTGAAGTGTGAAGCAATCGAATTAAAATAATTTATATTCCAAACACCCATTATCGATCAGATTTTAATTTGATTTAATCTATGATTAGGTTTCCAGTAGAGCGCTCGCGCCGCGCCGATTTAACAGAATTAAGTCGGCCGATTTTACAAATGAATTGTGGAAATCTATTACAAAGTAAAAAATAAAACTACTTATCCTAGAAAATCCTTAGAGCGTGACCTGTGTCTTACACAAATAGATATAGTATACTCACAATAAACGTAACTTCGACCTTGTGCGGCTATTACATAAATTCGCGGCTTGCACAATGAGAACAACGATCGCCGGTTGACAAAGTTTTCGTTTTCTTGGACGACGACGACATCATATTAAATACGAGCCTGGCATGCAAATCAATAATATAAAACAGTATACTTGTTGTTGGTAATCTTATAAACGAATGTGTGTCGAAACATCAGTTTTATTGAAATACAATTTTGTGATTTACGATGCTTGTTATTCGATTCGCGCTCTTCATTAAGGTTGATTTATACCTAGCTGTGCTGTGTCAATACATCCAATGAAATGTAACAAATTAAACGTATCGTAACTGGTTGACAAGTGAGAGAAGTAGTAGAAGAGAAATAATAATTGAAGTTTTTTCAAAAATAATGAACTTTTTTTATGTGCAAGATTATTCTTGGGATTTAAGATAGTACATTTTACTACTTGTTTGTCGGTCCGCATGTTTTATTTTGCTGTAAGCTTATTCTTGGGATTTGAAATACTGCATTTTGATATCAATTAGTATTATATAGGTTACACATTATTTGCACCCTACTTTAGAATATTATCATTAGAAAATACTATCATAAACTTGTACAATATTCAATCAGTACTTTCAAAATAAATTCACAGTCTGAACTAATCGTGTCTTAAGACAATTGGCTTCTTTGAGAGTTTTGAATTTTTTTAATTTTTTTTAAACAAAAAATGTAAAAAACACCCTTTTTAAAAAACAATAAATGTTTCGAAAAATTTTCACATTCTTTAAATGCCGATTTTTTCTAATAACTTTAAAAAAATTTGAACACGTTTTTAATTTTACTATCGAAAATATCTTATATTTAAAATATATTTTCAACCGCAAAATGTCATTTTTTGAAACTTTTTTCTGGATCTGCGAAACCGCTGAACCTGCCTTTATAAAAATTTAATCAACTCTTCATTTACGTCAATACAAATAAAATATTTTTTGTTATCATTCGAATCGGATGCTCCGTTCCCTTAAAAATTAAATTTCTATTTTCTGCACTCTTTGCTCTGTGTCTCCGAATCGGCTGGACCTGTCTTTGTCAGAAACTAATCAGTACGTCTCTCTATCAATACGAATGGAATAATTGAAATCGGTTGATCCATGCGCCCGAAATCGTGGACACAGAATTGTATCCATACATACACACACATCCATTTTTTCTAAGGTATTCCAAAATGTGCAAAAACTTCTGAAACGCAAATGTAGGCAAAAATTTACATTTTCGGTTTTTGGACGATTACAATAACTTACACTGCGGGAAGTTAACAAAAAATTTACTATCTATACTATTGCCCACCACGACTGAATAAGTCGATTAAACTTCATATGTAAATTCGCATCCTTCCCCGTGGCATAAAACCAATCAACGAACTCTCCGTAAATAAATCACTTAAAAATAATCTGCAATCATATTACATATCATAATACCTACTTTGTTCCCATCTCATAAATATGAAAATGATAGGTTTCTGATTAAAACGATTTCCTCGCGTCAATGGCATATCACATTCGGCCTACACCCTCTTGCTCATAGTCGGTCGCTTGAGCAAGATACTTTCAATGAAATTACAAGAGAACGGCGAGAAGATTAGTCATTGTTCTCAACGGTCAAATTATTATAAGAAACGAGCTTATCGACAAGCATAGAATATAAATTACATGACCGATAAACTGTCGGCCAGGATCGCTGTTAATACATGAAATAATAGAAAAACATCCCTATTTTTATTTTATGTCTCAAAATTTAATTCAGGTATCGTAAACTAAACAACACGGCTCAAAAAAATCGAAAATGTGGACGTTCATCTCCTTATACGAAAGTCTCCCGACTTAAGGAGATGGCTAGTTGCACACATCATTTGCTCCAGACTTCAAAATATCTATAAAAAATCCATACCTATTTTTGAGATTATTGAGGTGGACCTTTTTATCCATGGACCTTCAAGCCCCGTTCTTCCCAATTAATTTTAATATATAAATATTATTATCAAATTCATTTCTGCATAAATTCGCACCGCTGCCACCAACAAGTGCTTATGTATGCATGCTATTTAATGATCGTGCGAATTGCTATTGTTTTGACATATGAATAATTTGCATGCATCGTTGATTTTAGATCTTGTTGATTTTTATTGCCTTTCTGATATAATGATAACGTAGCAGTAAATCATAGATGTTCAAAACAACACAGTGTGGGCGACTACAAACTCATTTTCCCTTTCAAATCTCATCTATGTCTCACTTAAGCACCCTGGCCGTAAAAGATGAATAGCTTATTAAGATATCATGATAACGTATTGTCATTAAAAAGTATTGAAATGTCTGAATTATAAAACATCATTTTTCACTATTCGATCGATCATAATAGAGAAACAATCACTTTCTCTCTTGCTTGGACGCAAAAACTCTATAAAGGTTCGTGGCTCGTTGTTGGAAATGACACCGTAGTTTAAATGGAATACGATTGATTTATTTTGATTTCCAATTTTGCTAGTTCTATAACTCTGTTTTACAAATTTCCTTGAACATAAATAGGTCTAAATAGCACGTGCTTGAAGCTGATTGAGTTGATATCGTGCCATCATCAACAAATTCCGTAATCGTCGCTAGAATGCTACTGTATACTGATCTGATCAGTAACGAATGATTAGAATGTTAATCGAAAAGAAGTTTCATAACTTGCAAGAAGTAAATCGTGGCACATTTTCATCGATTGGATCAAACAGCACTTTATTGTATAATCGAATTGGAGATGGATAGACTTAATCGCACTGAACCAACATTTCTTGATACAATCTTATACTTTCCATAAGATTTTCCCAGCAATATTGTCGTAGAGTTTTATCATTTTTTACCCATGTGAGCAAGTTTAATCCCACTTCTAATTTTTTTTTTTTAACTTTATTTGGCCTCGCTTACTCTGAGCATTTAGCCACCTACAACATTTTCTATAATTTTAATAGATCATATTTTATTATATTGGAGAATCTAGAAAAAACCTATAAGTATCTGGATGATTTATTGCTTTACGATTCACTTGCTGAATTTATAGTAAAATGAATGTTATGCAAGAATTGTGCAGGCAATGAGCCCAACACTTATATCACTGCGTGGAGTTGGTCAACATCAATCACTATTACTTGTACGCACTATTATGTGATTTTATAGACAGGAAGGCTGGTGGATAAAAAAGTATAAAAAAATATATAAAAATACACGCTATATAATTTGAAAATACTATTTTTGGCTAGGAAATCAGTTAGACTTTCTCGATACTCCCTAAACAATGAAGATCAACCTGGTCTACAGGCAAATTACTAAAAGACACAGTTACTAATAAATTGATGATTAAGTAAAAAACTTTTTTTTTTATTTTCTATTATTTTAATGTGTTCAAAACAAATACTTAGAATCATATTTGTATCTCTAATCATAGATAAGCTTTGTAAAGTTTCGACTAAAATATCTTATGTTAAGTTTAATACTGCCATCTATAGTTTGGCCAGTAGGAGGGTTGGATAATTAAGATACCATCAGCTTGATGTTTGATTTATTTTGGTATATTATAAAACCAACTAATTTTTTTTATTTTTTATCTTATTATTATCATCAGCTCTCTGATTATCAGGTCAACTGTTCGCCAATAATATTCCTCATACGTGACATACATGGATTATTCGTTGATGCATGCGATCTATATGCTTAACAATTCTGTGAAGCAATGTAATAGCCACTTGCTTGTATTACGAAATTTAATTTAGTACATCAAGAAATTGCTATTTCAAGATTTTCTGGCAAATTGACCAAGCGAAATATTAGCCATATCATAAACTACTGAATTTTAATGTCGCTAATCTGGAGAATGCAAAAGTGTGATTGATTTTCTGATTGCGCAATTGGTTTGATAAATAGTTAGTATTTGAGAACTTGTTTAGTGTTTGACAAAACAATGAATGTAAAGGCATTTTGTGTCTAGAAAATTTAAACTTAAATTAGATTTTAGGATTTTTTCAAATAATTACCTTGCATCCTTCACAAGTGAAGGCGCCAAAATGAAAACCGGCGGCTGGTTCGCCACAAACTTTGCACTGCTGATTCATCTAAAATAAAAGAAATAAATATATCAATAAAATACTATAGGAGCACATGACAATATTTTATAAAACATTTGCTTTTTCATATTGACCTTCTATGGGTCTCCGTGACTTTCAAGTCACATTCCAAAATTTTTGATATTGTACTAAATAATTATGGCTCTTTTTGTGAGATTCTATAACAAAGTCAGGACAATCAATATCAATACTCATAACCATTCCTAGGTTTTTTAACCAGAAAAAACTATCTTTATACACAAAAATAGTTCGAACATTTTAGGCCGCTGTGACTCGAAAGTCACATAAATTATCGATACCAAAAAAATTGCTTAAACAGATTTATTTTGTTTTACATTTGTATGCATAGGTTTATAGTTACTGATTTTTTCCCTTAATTTTTTTTGGATTCTAAGCAAAATTTCAGCTTATAGTAGGAGCTGTTTTATACATTTGAAGTAAATTCATTACCACTGAAAGTTTTACAGTAAAATCAATAGATTCAGTTAAAATTTATTTTTATGTGAATGGATACAAGCATATATCTGAAAGTTGTGTTCACAGAGTTTATGAATTACAGATCTTCATTTAAATTTATCATTCTAATCCTAACTTCGAATGAATTCTTTTGATCTCATATTGACTCGTAACAGTGTAGTAAAAGTTCTTAAAATCTTCCATGAAATAAAACTGGTTTGCAGTACATTAATCTTAATATCTTCATTCATTAAAATTTTAATTGTATGATTACTCTATTAATGTAGATATTAAATATGTTTTTGCTCAGATACTTAGACTATGTTTTTGCTTAGAAATGTTAATTTTCTAGATCACAAAGATGTGCAAGATTGATGAATGAGAACAACAACTGTCCGATTACTTGTTGACACGTTGTGTAAAAATTTATCTCGTATTTAATTCGCCAATTAAAATTTTATTCATATCTCATATGTGAGCACACATTGCATAATTGTTATCTTGAATCTATTGTCTATTATTAGTGTCCGCACAACATCCAAACGTAATAATTTACCCAAGTAATGATTCCAATAAAAACGAGTCATAGGAAACTATCAGCGATCGTTACAATATACGAAATAAATTTCAATACATTGGAATGTCGAAAGATTATTTATAAACTGGAATTTGTGTACAAATGTTATTTCTTTTGCTTTTTCTTCATATCACTCGTAACCTTTTGACTGGGACTCGTGTGCGATGCCATCAGAATATTTTTTAGCGCTTATTTAATCTTGTATTATGACATGTATGCGGATTCTGTATTTTTATTGAAACTTTTATTTTGCGTTTTATTTACCGTACTTATGAGTAATGAAATGGTATTATAACAGGGTTAAAAATTATGACTGTTTCTTATCTTCGTTGGTAAAGTTTATGGTAAGATGGAGCTGGTGAAATATTCCATCTCAAAAACAAGTGAAGTCTGGTATTTTTTAACTATACTATTTTAAAGTAGAGGGCAAAATATGTGTAATCAACCATCGCCTTAGATTGAGATACCTCGATATCATGAGGTTAATCTGCCACATTCTAAATTTTCTACCACAATTATTTTTTAAATTTTTCTTTTGTTCTGAGCAGGGTTATTTAGTTTTCGATACCTAAATATAGTTTTTAATTATACGTTGTTTAATTGCTTCATAAGGTGCACTGCTGTTTTGAGTTAAATTCAAAAGCTTTTTATTGTAGAAGGGGTGGAAAGGACCACCAGAACCTTCTCATTGGCAAGATATAAACAATAAGAAATAGTAAATAAAAGAATAAAATAAGTTACAAAAAAAATTTTACAATATTATTAGTTTATTTTGTCAATAAAGCTTATTTATTCCAACTCTAATGATAAATTCTTCTGACAAAATTTCATACAAAATTTGTATGCAGTGTAATATTTGTAAAAAAAAAGTGCCCATGAAATATGAATATCAAACAGGAGTTGCATTTACCTTATTTGTAATAATTGTATTTCAAAAAAACAATGAATCTGATTATGGCAAATTGAACAAAATTATCTACCAAATCAAAATTTATAATAATAGCAATAGCTGATAATTTTTTTTGTTTCCTATATGTAACAATATATATTTAAATCATTTTGGATTTTGTTGCTTAATCTCTATTTTTTTACATATTATTTACAACTTCATCTAATTTCAGTTATCTATTGTTGTTTTAACTCAAATTTATTATTTATTTTATTTATCTTGTCTATTGGTTTTTTACCTTATATAACAACAAAATTGAATTTGACTAATCAAAAATGAAAAAACTTACTACTTAGTAACCTTTTAGAATTAGTGGTTAATATCAAAATTACTAGATAACACAGCTTGTAATTAATAAATTTTTTTTTTAAAAAAATATCTACCTTACATGGACATTCAGTACATCAATTAACAATTGAAGATATTGTAAATGGCAATAATATATAGATGATGAAAAAAATGTAAATTTTTGGTGCTCAATCTAATAATGAAATTGCATCTCATTGGCGAAATAATCTTACTATTATTCCGTAAAACTTTTCAAAATTAGATATAAAATATTAGACTTATTTTTCACATGGCTGCTACTATTTACCTCGATATTTTTTTTTTTTTTTTTGAAAAATATAAAGAAATATTTTTCTAGAATGAATTAGTTGGAAAATTCACTGAACATAGTTAGATAGTTTTGGGATATAGTTTATTTGGTTTTCACAGTATAACTGCCAAAAGTCAAATTGGACTCTTTTGGATGCAGCCCTAACCTCCTAACAATGAACTTTCATAATGATTTGTTCACTTAAAAAAAAATCGCAAAATTCGCAAAGGTTCAAAGTGTCAATTATAGTCTGGTACAGTTCATCATATAAAGAATTTGCTACAACTTGACACAGTTGGACGTAGCTTATTGAATATTAAGTTAATTTTAATTAATCTCCACACCATCTATAATTATCATTATATACCCATGTCAAAAGTTTCTTAATAATCAAGTCCATGTATAATTTTAGCATACAATACATCTGATTACACATTTCTAATTTCTAAATTGGTAATGTAAAAACATAATCATATGGGCACAACGGCATGCGTGTATCTCATCACGATCGTTTTAAAAGTACTGCTTAACAATACGCGCAAATTTCTCTCTAATAGGTTCCACTGTCCGGGGTCAATTTTTTGTGTCTAATAAACTCTTTCATGTCAATATAGTAATATACCTACACCTGACAATATGTATACGAATCAATACGATACAGTGTGGGAACCTGGAATACTCGATCGGGTGCAGTCAAAGGTTATGCGAAGTGTTATAACTACTTCTGGATAGGTGTAGAATGTGTTGAAGACGGCTAAATTTCAAATGAAAAACTACTTTTGATGGAACATGGAACCCTTCTGGTAATGACAGTTATCACGCAGCACGTACCGAACACGGAGAGGAAGATGTAAGGCTTTGTTCACGTGATAGTAGGAAGAAACTAGTTTTGAAGTAGTTGTTCAACGATGAAAGTTTTTACAGCTGGATAATGTACCAATAAATAAATTATATTTTAGATTTAGCCAATTTTCAAATCTGCCATTTAAAAAAAAACCTTGAAAACTCGAATTGAATCATGGAATTTCTTTCTACTGGACTTTTCAAGATGTCTTGATGTCTTGATTTTCGCAGTAAAAAAATATTTTTTCAACACATTTATTATGAAAGCAGAGAGACCTTATTTATTTGTTTAATTTAAAATAAAACAACTTCCGCTCATGCTAGCTTGACATTTTCAAAAATTTTTACCAAAATAGAACAAATAAGACTATTTCCGTTTGAAACAATTGCAGTACCAAATTTGAATTTGATTATTTTATTGTACTAAACACTAGTCTAAGGTGCAACATATGCGTGCGCAGTAGTAAATATGTTAAAATAATTTTAATCAAAAAATCATGCATGAAATACGTTTCTACAGTCTTTGTCATGATTTTTTCAGCGCTAATTTTTTTTAAGCTGTTCTATTGAATTTTCTTATATTTTTATTATATAATAGCTGTACCTGCGACGTCGTTTGCGTGGAATCGAACAAAAAAGTTTTTGCATTTTTATTTTAATTGTCATTTATTTTCAGTGTTTTTTATATCAGCTTTACAGAAAAATTTTTTTACAATTTTTTGTGTACAATTTTCTTGAGCTGAAACAACATTTATGGCTTTTCTCATGTTTTAAAATTTAAAGGGAAGTTCATAATTAATAGATGTATATTCAATGAATGAAAAATTTAAACTAGAAATATTTGGTTTAAGGAAAAACAACTATCAAATAAATGAAATATTTTATGAATAATTGATGAAATTTATTGCAAATTAGAATATTGAAGACCAAAGTACTTAATTTACAATTATTTACTTAAAGTTCAAAAAATAGAAGAAAATTATATTACAATAGTTTAAATTAGAATAATGAGAAATATGTAAAATACAAGGTTTATGATATAGAAAATTATTAAAGTATTTTGAATTAAGATAAGAAGATTGCAAAAAATGCTAAATAATCTGATGAACTTTTTTTTAATTTTAGGGGGACAAAATCTCTGATACAGCTGAATGAGGTAAGATAAAGTACTTTTTTTTATAAAATTGAAGTAGCCTAAGTTATGGTCAATATTATCAGCTACCTGACAATAAAAGTTTTGTCAAAATCGGTTCAGTTATTTCATAAATTAATACAAATAGACAGAACATACAAACACACAAAAAACGATAATTTGGTATAAGCAACTTATTACTATTATTCATATGCGTGTATTAAAAATCTCAATATTAGAAACAGACTCTTTAATTTTATTTTTATCAATAGATTTAATATCGGTATGTGAAGAAAAATATTATATCTGATTTTGAATCTTATTTAAAATTCATTGACTTAATTTGCCTTGGTCAAGCAGACATCCCAGTTTATAGAGCAATTAGTTTTCTAAAAATTATTCCTCAATTTTTCTTCTAGAAAATACTTAAATT